ACTCAGTATACCGAACACGGGACGCTGGCTGTATCCCAATTCCGGGTCTGCAGCCTTAAAGGCCGCATTTTACGGCCGATTACGTCACAGTGGCGCGCCGAAGGCTGTCCCAATTCAAAGGCTGCTCGAAATGCGGCCCTCAAATGCGTCCTTCATTTCCCTGAATTTTAAGGCTGTGGCAGTGTAGACTTCGTGGCCCAACATATCCCACAATTCATAGCGCAGCAGTCGGTGTGGATAATTTTGCGGCAGACGAAGAAGCTGAGCGGCCGAAGAGTAAACTGTGAAAAGTAAGTACTGAATATTATGTCACTTATTTATGTGCAAATGTTTAATAATGAGGAACATTAAAACATTACTGTTGGCCACATGTCGGCAAAGTTATGTGACTTTAGTGACGTTTGTACTAACTTGGTTTTAAAGACTTTACTTTACTTTATATACGCCATTCAATAGCTGAGCTTAAACTTACAGAGAATGATCAAAGCTCATGCAGAAACAAACAAACAAATGAACAAAATATTTTCTCCTTCATTTCTGTCAAACAAAGCTGTATGAAACGTTTCCAGCTGTTAGTATCATGGTTGCTAGGCAACCTGGGCAGCGCGACATTTCACAAGCCTCGCACTTCCGGCCTTAGCGGTCTTTGAGTACGCGGCCCTTGTGGACCGTTAAGGCTGCGTACTCTAAGGCTGCAGACCCTGAATTGGGATACAGCCAAGGACTATCAAAATACAACAGGAAGTAGATGAAGACAAGACACGCGAGTTTAACACCGAGACTGGGGGCATGAAAAGAGAGACGAGACTAGACTCTGAGACATGGAGACAAGAGTAACTAAACGCGGAACCACAGGGAATGCACAGAAACCAAGAGACTAGAAATTATAATGAAAGCATTAATTAATAAAACACAAAACATTGGACCATGACAACATCAACTCTCCTTTTAAGCAACTTACTTTATGTCTGCCAACCCCAAAGAAAACTTGTGATGCAAGAATATTCAGAGTAAGTCACATACTGCCCAGGGCTGCAGGACCATGACATGAGCTGCTTATACCTAAATGGCTAACCACCCCTGAGGAAGAACATTCCTAGTTACACAGTTTTGCTTCATACCATTGCATTACTGTTGCCTGAAATCAATACCACCTGACATATCACATAAGTGACTATCATGGATCACATTTAGTGGGGTAGAAATTTTGTATCTTTCCAACTAACACATCTCTAGTGATCAATCAAGGTTTACTGAGCTAGCATTTTCACTGACTGATGAAACAACATAATTATGGCGAAGTCACCAGATCACCCCAAAATTATGGATGAATCGGCTGTCTAAGAAACTTGGAAAGAAAAGCGCCTGGAATTCTTTAAGTTTCTTGAAAACTGAGTGTTTTACTCAGTTTCTTGCAAGTTACTAATAATATCGTACTAATAATAAAGCTGATATTATCTTACAGTTCAAGGTCCGATATAATACTCAAAATAAAACAAGGCCTCACCATAAAGCAAATGAGATAGTGGTCCTATGATCAATAATGAACTTTTTTTTTCACTCCTTCCTTTATCTAATGCCAGCAATCATTGTCCAGTGTTCCTAATCATTTGCTTCTTTTGGCTCTTCCCTGTTGATGGTTGTGTATTTTAGCTAACGTTAAAACATTACCAGATAAGGAAGCTAAGTATAAAAATGATAACATGAAATACATTATTGAAATATATTCATTTCTCTTTTATCCTTCAGCTGGGATCTGTCCAAAATTGCCAAGGCAAGTGCAAGTTGTAGAGACTATAGCAGTAGCCACCACAAATGTTTATTGTGGTGGCTACTATACTACTACTATATTGATTATAATGGTATCAGTGAGAAAGCAGCAAAAGTGAGTAAGATGCATTCATTAACCTGCACAAATTAATTTTAAAGCCAGCTGATGCTCCAGAAGCTGCAGATGGTCTCTAGTTTGGTGGATTGTTCAGGCAAGTTTGCTTAATGTCAGGTCTGACTACTGTCATGCATTATTAGCAGCTACAGTGATGCCAAAAATTTGCCTAGTGGCTTGTGTACACAAAGGATAGATTTGGAGCAAAAGCAAAGAAAGGAAGGAAGCAAGAATAATAACTGCACTATCATATATTTCTTGTTTAAACACGCAAATAAAGACATACAATTGACAATCAGATTTGAGTTGTTGGTTCACTGTATTGTTTCCTTCCCAAATACAACATTATCTTAATAATTGCCTTTTATTACGCTTTATCTTATCGTGGTTTCTGGGTTACCTTTTTTTCACATATTACAGTTTGATAAAGTGTACACGTATGCAAGACAAAGTGTGATCAGGTAGGCAAAAGTATTGAGACACTTTCATAGAAATACAGACTCAGTGACTGATACTAAGAACACAGTAGGTCTCTTCACAATACTTTACTGCTCTGTACTTTTGTATAAGTCCTTATTTTCATGTTTTGAAACAAGTACATTTTTGTCACACTTAAATGTTTCCAATCGTCAAACACATTTATAACATTAGGGAAAGGCGTTAAAGGTCATGTCAAAGCATCTCAATCTGATGTAAGCCCGGACTTTGACTGCGCCACTCCACCCCAGATTATTATACTTGCAATGGGGATATCAGCAATGAGTTTGAGTTATCGAGACATGGGCCAGTGAGTCCATTAGGTCTTGTTGTAAAGAAGTCTTCTTCCTCTTTATGTAGTTTTTCTGGGTCATCAAAGATTAGAGAAATCCTTATTTCACGTTAAGCACGACTCAGAAGTAATTTACCTCATTCTGTCTGCCTCACTCCGCTTAAAAGCACAGCACAGTGTAGTATGCTAATAAAAAGAGAGACACTGTGCTTACATGTGAACTGTATAACTAAAATTATTTTTCTGCATGACGCCACTGTTACTTGTGTTACGTGTGATGTTACTGTGAAAAACTTGAAGGTAATAGGTAATAGTTCCTCCCTAATTATTAGCTCTCTGATCAGAGCTGATGTAAGTTAAAGATTTTTCCGTGCTGCAGTGTCTATCTGCTTTAACAAATCACTTCTATCTGAAGATGACTTTATTCATTTACCTAGGTTTGTGTGTCCAAGCCCAGTGAATAACAAGTTTACTTAGGACTCAGTAAATTAACTCTACCTGAAATACAGTAAAGACGGTTTATGTTAGAACTTTATCTGCTGTATGGTGACTTTAGTTTGCTAGTTATTGGATGGATTATGATGAATGTGGTCCAGATACTCATGTTCCCCTCAGAATGATTTGTATAACTACAGCAAACCTTTTTTTATACATCATAAATTTTTCACTTTAGCTTAGTTAATGATGAGATAACTGTAGATATCAAGACAGATATAAGCTATAGATATAAGCCTATGTTTGCTCATGACCTCTTTTTACAAAATCAGGTCAGCAAGCAAAACTGGCACACAGATATATCTTCAGCCCCAACCACACCTTATGCACAATAGTCAAACCTATAGCCACAAAACTTGGATTACACGTCATGTTATCTAGCAACCACCCGATTAAAATCAGACCAAACACTGCAGCATCAAACATAGCAGTTGCATGTCAGATGGGCCAGATGGATTTTTAGCTTATTTTGTACCACTGCTTTTTTTCCTCTCTTCAAATACAACATAAATTCAAGTGCACCTCATGAATTTAACACATTGCGTTTTTGCCGCTTCTGGTTTGGCATTTTTGTTGCCTTTTAATTTTAACCATAATGGTTAAAGTATATACACACTTGTAATTTGTGCTTTCAACAATTAAAATTCATTTTAGGCATTCGCGACTAATTTTCTGAGGAGATGGGGGTTAGATGTGATTAACAGTGCTCAACTGTCTTGACAGTTTTGACAAACTATGTTAATCCTGCAACATTACAAAATAACCACATTAACAGTGCAATAATTTAAAATACAGTAAAATAAAATAGAAAAATAAAATACTATAAATGAATACATGCTGCAAATACTGTACATACAAATGCAGTAAAAAAATTACTGCAAATTAGATTACAGTAAATAACCATTAATTAAATTTACAATAACTACTGTAAGCCTTCAGTTAATCCAAAATGCTGCAGCAAGAGTACTGACAGGGACTAGAAGAGAGAGCATATTTCTCCTATATTGGCTTCCCTTCATTGGCTCCCATACACAATAAAGTGCCTTAAGGCAACTGTTGTGATTTGGCACTGTATAAATTGTGTCCTTTAAAAAACTTTAATTACTGTGAATATAATTACAGCCGGACAATTTTTTTCTATGTATAGTACTAGTATTAACTTGTTGGTAGAAACTGACTAGCATTCAGGAGTAGAATTTACAGCAACCTATTAGGTTCACACAAGGCATAGTAACACAGCAACACATTCTTTCTGCTTCTAGTTTGACATTAACTCAGTTTTACTGCGAAACTAGTTATGAATTTCTAACCCTGCGGGAACTACTGTGGTACGCGTTACTGGTGTTAAAACTGTAATAATGTGTGTCAGCTGCGGCTATAAAAATGTGACACAGAAAACTGGAAATGGAAAAAAAAAATAACATCAAGTCAAATATAATAATCTGTGCAGATTCTTTTTATTCCTCTGTCTCTCCCACTCTGTGTACACACACACACTTTATGTATGCTAACGCTTACATACAAATCTTTCAGAAAGCATGCGTTCCTGTGTGGTCACTTATCAACTGCATAACAAGGTCTGTCCTGGCCACTCATTATCTATTAACAGCAATAAAACAGGCACACCTCGAGCTACCAGGGGCAAAAGGTTAAACCATGAAAACACTCTTCATTTGAAAAAGCACACAAACGAGTGCCAACACACCCAGGCGATAAATGAGGCCGATGCACAGGACTCACCTGATTGGCTTAGTTTGGCGAGTGATGTCATCCCCTAGGTGGGTCACACCAGTTTATGATAAAAAGGTACACAGATAAGGGTCAACGGCTGCTCAAGAACGGACAAATACATGGTGCAGAAAGTCCCTGGAGGAAGTACACTGAGTGGATTCAGCAGGAGCTACAGCGACTACAGCTTCAGAAAAGGGCGTACCTTTTGGAGAAAGGTGCAGAAAAGAGGAAATTAAAGGACCAAATAACAAAGGCTTGTGATAGTCACTGAAGCAAACACAAGGAAAAGGAACTTAAGAAAATAAGAAGGGAGAAAAACCTTTATCTTGTCTTGAAACAAAGGGAGAGAAAATATAAAAAAGGACTGCGTGGTTGCACCATGGCATCTTTTGGACTTGAGCTGGCCGGCATCACCCTGGCAGTGTTGGGGTGGGCTCTCACTGTGACCAGCTGTGCCCTTCCAATGTGGAGGGTCTCGGCCTTTATTGGCGCCAACATCGTCACTTCTCAGGTGTACTGGGAGGGTCTTTGGATGAGTTGTGTGGTCCAGAGCACGGGCCAGATGCAATGTAAAATCTACGACTCGATGCTGGCTTTACCTCAGGACCTCCAGGCTGCCAGGGCACTCACAGTTGTTGCCATTCTAGTGGGGTTGATTGCTCTCCTCATTGCCATGGTGGGAGCCAAGTGCACCAACTGCATCGAGGAGGATGGGGTTAAAGCCAAGGTGATGATCTCTTCTGGAGTGGCGTTCATCATAGCAGGTCTGGCTCAACTAGTGCCTGTTTCCTGGTCAGCAAACACCATTGTCGTCGAGTTCTACAGTCCAATCGTCCCTGCTGGGCAGAAGATGGAGATCGGGGCATCACTGTATGTGGGATGGGCTGCCTCAGCCCTGCTGGTGACTGGGGGAGCTATCCTCTGCTGCAGTTGCCCTCCAAAGGAAGACAAACCACTGAAGTATAACATACAGCCCCAGAGTCGTGCAGCATACTCAGCCGCGCCGATGTCGGCAGCTCAAAGCTCCTATACTAGAAGGGACTATGTGTGAGTGGAAAAGGACAAAAACTAAAGAGGATCGGAGGGGATTGCATGCTATTTTTATAAAAATGTAGTTAAACAGATACAAATGTTATGGTGTACGGAAATCTATCGATATTTAAGATGACAAGAATGTCTATATAGTCTTGACACTGAATTTGCAGTTTCTTTAGGACAATGTTTACATATTCTCTATATTTAGTCTAACTGAGCAGATTGAAATTGTGATCATGATCATGATCAGTTATGGCAAACGATGTGATTCTTTGTCACAGCACAGTGAAGAAACATTTGCAGAGAAAAAAATATTATATATATTTATTCATAATATAACATTCATAGCATTAGTGTCTGTTGTGGATGGTCGTTATTCTAATGATCAATGTACTGATGACTTTGTATATACAAACTATCATAGATTCAAAGCAGACAGACACCATAACTGGAATAAGTTTCATGTGATGATTTTTTGGACGTTCTTACAAAACAGACATGCTGAGTTACAGATGTGAAACAGCATGCAGCTGAGCAAAGTGGAGCTCACCCTCGGCTTCAAACGAAGGTCAAAAGGGTGGCAAATGTATGATTTATTAGAATGATACGTAAGTAATTTTATTTGTTCATTCTTCCGTATTTTATCATTTGATGTTTCTGTATTCCTACTGTTTTTAAATCTGACAAACTTTCATGTATTGTACTTTACTTAATATCCTTCATTTCTATGTATTCACCTTTGTGTGTTTGACAAAAAAATCTTAATATTATCTGATTTTTGATACAACTTTTATAATGTATTTGATCCATAAATACAAATATTTTATTTTGGAATCTGACTTGATTAAAATACTTTAGGTTAATAAAGTAATTACAAGTAACTACTGGTTTAACGTTGATTGACTGTTTAATGTTCTACAAGAGTGCATGTAAACAGGTTTCTAAATTCTGTAGAAAGAAGAAGAAACTAAGAGTAATACGTAATCCACTGGACAACATTTTAACAACATTTTTTAAGTAAAGCACAACAGGTCACATAAATAAATGTACCAAGTTCATTACACATTCATCAGAGTCTCTTCTGAAACTCACGCATGAAATCTGATGTCATTTGGGAAAAAGTCCCTTCTGTTTATTGTCTGATTCAGTGCCTTCACAGATACCAACTTTTTCCTGGTTTGAATAGTCAAATTATCCTGACCTTTAGCATGTGAGCAGCCACCCTGTGCTGCGCCATTACAGCACATGACTGACTCTGCTCATCAGCACACTGAGTAAACTTTCAACATCCAGGAAAGGCTTTTATTGGAACTACTGAAACTCCTTGGTAATGAGACATAAAGGCCATAGATAAAATAATCTATTCCCATTAAATAAGTATTAAAGAAAATACCGACGTTAATCTGAATCTGCAAACTTGTGAGGAGAATAAATGTGGTTCATCTAAGGTGTAATGCAGTAATAGGAACACCATCAGCATGTATTCTTCTATTTGTTTGGTGGAGATCTTTATCTTAAATTACTGGGGGGGGAAACAGCTGCAGTTCTGCTTATGCTCATGCGTTTGTTTTTGGTAACACAGGTGTTAGCTGTTATAATAGCAGTTGTCATCCATGAAAGGATGATGTAATACATAAACATCTGATCCCGATGTTCATGATGAAACTGCAAACAGGCTCCCTTATGTTTTTCAGTCTTGTTTTTATATGTTTGAGCCCTATTTTGGTTTATGACAGCATATTGTTGACATGCAGTTGTGTGTACAGCAGAAACGTTAAGTCACTGAGGTTATTATCACGAGCTGTGCATTTGAAAGAAAAGTTTTAGTTTCCATAACCAGGATAAATTATTATGTGAACTGTGTTTTTACATATGTAATAAAATCTCTCTTTTTTACAGGTTATTAGAAAATCACTACCAAAAATTTTTTAATTCTTAAAAAAATGTAATGAGTCTACTTTCCTAACACGCATTAAAACCCATATAGATCGCATTACAGCACATAGTTCCACTCTAAAGTTTGGGGTCAGCTAAAATTTCAATCATAGGGCGGTTCATTTCATTATCTTTTTTTTGTTTTTTAAATAATACTTTTTCAGAACTCATTCTATAAATTGTTTGCTGAATTACAAAGTGATAGGGAGCTTTTGTAGCTCGCTTTTTCTTGGGTGGACATGTGTGTGTTTCAGGGAAATGATTGGTCAGAGTCTAACCGATACTGAGAAGGTCACGCTCTTTCTGTATGCTTAGGGTGTCAGACAACAGCACTGTTATGTTTTCTCTCTCTTCATATTTGTTCTTGATGCAGTTATTCCGGTTCTCAGAAGAGCTCTGGGATTGTTTTCCTGACACTAAATCCTGACTGTCGTTAAACGTCTGAATGAATGAAACCAGGGAGTAACAAAATAATTACCTGAGGGTTATTTTTCACCATGGTTACGTTTCTGATTCACAACAAAGCTTTTGAAGTAGCCTGAGGTCAAAGGATTTTTTTTTTTGCCCCGTAATGTTAATCACTTAATGCAAAGTAGCATTTACAGTTAGCCAGTAACTTTTTTATGCTCTTTTTTTTTTTTCATTCATTCATATGCAGTGAATTAGAAGGTCAAGTGCCTCGTTTTGGTGTCTTCTTCATTTTTACTTTGTACAGTCACAGTTTAATCACCCACATCAAGTCAAGTCAAGTGGCTTTATTGTCATTCCAACCATGTGCAGCTGTACAATACACAGTGAAACGAGACAACGTTCCTCCACGACCATGGTGCTACATATAACATATAAAAGACAATCAACACAGGAGTAGATTAAGTACAAGTGTGCAAAAACTGCAACAACACATAAAAAACAATGTAACACCAGACAGAACAGAACGATACAGACATAAGACAGTGCTATAGAAAAGTGCAACAACGACAGTGGTTTGTACAAAAGACTGAGCATTTTGCAAAAGTAACTTGATGTATGAAGTGTGATGTGTTTGTGTATAAGATTGTGACGTGTATGAAGGGATGTGTGAGTCCACCAATGTAATGGTGAATTCAGTTCCTGGGAGAAAACAGGTGAAATGTTTTACATAGTTCTTGGAATTTAAGAGAGAACTACCTTTGCCCATCCCCCACAAACCACAGCCACACCTTGCCTCCATCACATCACTGCTCTCTTGCTCTGCCTCAAGCTCCCCTCCTCCACTGTATGTTCACATGTGTGTATTTGTTCTGTGTGTATGTGAAGACAGCCTCTCGCTGACATCAACACCAGAGGACTCCTCCTTGTTCTCTCGAGGTATAAAGATATCTTGTTTCTGTAGCAGCATCCTAAAGCTACGCCACACCCTCATACAGCTGCTCACACTTCAATAAGCACCTGACAGTAAAGCAGAATCCTTTTCACCAAAGACTCACCTGGGGGACTCAGTTTGTTGGACACTGTGGACTCGCTTTTTGGATTTTGTTCTGTCACCACACACGAGAGCGAACATGTCGATGGGTATGGAGATCGTGGGCATTGCCTTTGGAGTCATTGGTTTTCTTATAGCCATATTAACATGTGCCCTACCAATGTGGAAGGTGAGTGCATTTGTCGGAGCTAACATTGTCACTGCTCAGATCATCCAGGAGGGTTTGTGGATGAGTTGTGTTGTCCAGAGCACAGGTCAAATGCAGTGCAAGGTCTACGACTCGCTGCTGGCCTTGACTCCGGAACTGCAGGCGTCCAGAGCAATGATGGTTATTGCCATTATACTCGGAGTGCTGGGTATCATGATCTCCATAGTCGGCGCCAAGTGCACCAACTGCATTGAAGAGGAAGGAAGCAAAGCCAAAGTGATGATCATTGCAGGAGTCTTCTTCATCCTCAGTGGCCTCTTGGTTCTCATCCCTGTTTCTTGGACTGCCCAAGTTATCATCACTGATTTTTACAACCCTCTTGTGATCAGCGCTCAAAGGAGGGAGATAGGGGCGTCGCTCTACATAGGCTGGGCTGCAGCCGGAGTGTTCCTGATCGGAGGGGCGATGTTGTGCACTAGCTGCCCACCGAAAGAAAAGAAATATCTGCCACCCAGGATGGGGTACTCGGCCCCACGCAGCATTAGTGCAGGTGCAGGATATGACAAGAAAGACTACGTCTGAATTAATTTCATCTTGCTGAAGGATGAAAGAAAAATGATTTTTGTGTGTGAGTTTTTGTCTGTATGCGTGTTACTTTTTTTTTACCGGAAACCACAGCGTGAATCCGGCTGAAAGACTCCGAGATGAAGATGCTGTACAAATATTAATCTTTTGCTTTGCTTTTAGCACATAAAGGATGTGATATGTTTATTCACATCCTTTTGTTTTGCTTAAAAAAATAGACTTAGATTTTTCAGTGCTTGAACATGGGAGCTTAAACAAATAACTTTATTCTTTTAAGATTTTTACTGGGAAAATATTTATACTAAATTCTTGGCATTATGTGAATCTGAAAACACCTGTGTGTCGTCCTCTTATTAGCTCTTGGCTGGTTGCGTGGTGTTGTGTTTCACTGAAACCTGCTGTTAAAATGTGGTCTGTCATTTCACTGACAATGACCAGGAAGAGTCAGCTCTCATTTTACATGCATTTGGTTGGTGTGATTGTTCAGTGTGTTCGTGTGTGCGTGTGTTTTGCATGACCTGTAATATTTGCTTAAGAGAGTTTCTGCTGAGACTGAAACTACAGATAGATCCAATACTGCCCCAGGTGAAACTTTGTCTTCCTTTTCACAGTTTCACTGTGTGTGCAAATAGAAAAGAGTTTTTCATGTGAGGATAACTTTATTTCAAATGTCTGTATAGTCATGTGTTTAAAATGTATTTCAAAATGTTAAAATATTCAAATATGTTCTACACTATGCTCCTTTCTTTTATTTTTTTATTTTCTGGAAGTTGATAATGAGCGTTTGTCACAAATTTTTCTCAATGATTTTTTTAAGTTTTTGAATAGATTAAAACCCATGTTTGGTCCATTTTTTGTTAAGCATATAACCAAGGACCTCTTTAGTGTATATTTATGTGTGCATGATGCTCCAAGGATCCCATGTCTAGACCCTTTTAAAAAGTATGTAACCAAGATCCTCTTAGTATATTTATGTTTGTAACACCACAGCAGTTTGCAAAGTACATATGTGTTTGTATTTCACAGATACTGG